GGTGGAAAAGCAGCCATCTATTTAAACTATATTAATTTTGAAACAACTAAATGGATTGCAAAAATAATTAAATCAAATACCTAAACACTAATATAATACAATTTTTGCCATTAACACTTTTTCCTGTAGTTTATGTGTTTATTCTGTATTGCTATTCTATGGCACTTCAACTATTTATTATTGATGTACTTTCAGTATGAAGGATACCTCACTCGGGGATTTCTCGGGCGAAGCCGGGTCATTCTTCTAGTAAAATATATGTAGAACTAAGGTGTAATATTCAATTCAAGCATATGGAACCAACAACGATTCATTTTTAAAACAAAGTAAAATCATAAGCTTATACAACTTTCATTTTTTCATACATGGATAATATATATCAATCTAACAAAAATATATATATATTTGAGGAAAATCTTATTTACATTTATAACTAACGCACACATAAAAAGCGAGAGACATCTGACCTAGTAAATCATGGACTTTCTACGAGATATCTTCCAAATTTACCTGCAAATGATGGCGCCAAGGCCCATGTCCATTGTCACTTTACCTCACATTCGCTGGACAGCCGCGAACTCCTTCACGACCTGACATTCCCTTTGTCCCTCTAAACCCAGCATGGATCTATGATCCAGTGTGAGGATTAGTTTTGAATGGAGATTAATCTTCTAAAACAAGTTTCCCCAAGCATACACATACACCTGACAACCTTTGGGAGAGGTTAGTTAGCGGTGGTTCCCACATGTACTGTAATCGCCTATATGTAAACTTGAAGAAATCTGCAGAGAAATTTGTGTATGCAATGACAACGATACAAAATTACAATATTGATGAAGCTACAATGTGCTGTCGTGAAATATCTTTTGATTTACTGTCGCTTTAGGATGGAGAAAATTCTCCTAAAATATTGCTTATGCAAATCAATTCTACAATGTTTGATTGACAAAAGTAGTGAAAATCAGAACCAATGCATTGTCTTTTATAAATTCTGGAGAACAGCACAGTCAAAAGACGTAAACAAAAGAGGGACCCAACATGAAGAAAGGTCGATGTTAATCTCACTTTCTGTAGATAACTGTTTACTTCTGTATCTGGGAGAATCCTGTATGGGACGAGTGTTAATAAAGCTTGTTGTTATTGTTGAGAGATATTTAGTAGAATGGGGCAACATATGTGTACTGATATAACATACAACAGTATTTAACAAAGTACTGTACTGACGGTATCCTTCCTGTGATTACAGGACAAAGGGAAGGGTCGCAAACAGGGCATACACACCCCCACTGCCACACCTCCACCCACCCCCCTCACCCCCGGCTCCCCACTACCACACTTTAACGCCATCGACACTAAGTTTGATGAGCCGGGGTTCCTCCATTGTAGGGTATACATCCAGAACCCATTTGGGGGGGCTCACTTGACAACATCCTGCACACTGACATGCGCCGTCCAACATTCTCTAGGCACACGTCCGAACATTTCTGGGTGGAGACAGAAGTCCGCTGGCCCTTTCTCAACAGAGATGTTGAGTTTGGGTCATCGGGCTCTGTCCCCTCCCTTCTGTAGGGCCTCACAATCACAGTGTTAGGTCCAACAGCACAGTACAACACTCACTCACATAACATGCGCGGGACTTCCATCTTACCCGCACATCAACACGCCCGATGTCTTCTTGGAGCACCACCACGTCCTTTGGGCAGGTAAGCTATATCTTTTTATTATCTTATAAATATACAAATATTCTATAATGTATGAGAAGTTTGCAAATCTATCAAGGATTAACTAGAAGAAAGAATTCTAAATTTGTTATAAATATTGCGCGCGAGCTGTAATTTACCATATATTTTAAAAATCTTATTGAGAGAAGATAGGTCTTGGTATCTCTATACTTGGATAATAAAAGTTGGTTTTAGTTGTTTACTTGGCAAAGGTTATGTGAGAAGTATTAATATTTTTGCAACTGTTACTATAAAAACCTCAAAATGAATCAAGAAAGATTTTTGCTGGTAAAGCCATTATTTCCTTCTGTTCCAAAATCACTTTATTAGGTACCACTCAAAAAGAACAACCTAGTTTATGATAATTGCAACAATGAATAATATGTGAAGGTTATTCAGATATTAAACAAAATGTAACGCGGGATTAGATCATGGTTCATGACTGTCGGTAATCGAAGGTGTTACCCACTCGTCCACGACGTGTGATTATTTTAAATGATTAGTTTAGCCTACATTCTTTTTATGAATATATAAGACTGATTTTAAGAAAATTTTCATTTCATTTGGGTTTAAGATGGATTTTGTGACGTTGTAGGGGCAGATGACCGAGCGTCGCCACCTAGTGGCGCTGGCAGACGAAGATTCGGGGGGGTCTTCGTCTGCGAATTCTGGGGCATTCTTCCATCGGTAAGTAGAACTGAGTTAACACGAGGTTTATATGGCATAGCAGTTGCTAAGTCTAATCTCAAGCTTCGAAAAACCTAAGAAAGTTGCAAAAAATGCTATAAGCTAATATTCTTAATGTATAACAAAATATATGAAAATTTCATCTTGTTCTTTTTTACTGAATTTTTCAA